AATAATGAATAAAAGAGAGAAAAACACTCTAAAAGTTGATGCTTCTTTACAAATTTTGCAGCAGTGTTTGTGGGTTTGTAAGAGGGGTCCTCATCCAAAAGCTGGTGCTCTTTGCGGGGGACCATGACATGAAAAGGTTTGGGAACCCCTGGTTTAGGAGATATTTTACTAACAGACACACTCCAGTAGCTAGTGGTGATTTAAAAAACAAACATTGCACAATATTGTTGCACTCAAAAGTACATGTTGGGGATCAGCCTCATGTTTTACCATAACAAATTTTAGCTCAGTATTTATACAATTAGCTGAAGTATAGCTATTTTTGTGTTTTTTTAAAGCTGTTTAGTTATAGAAGCCATCCTGAATAAGGTTAACTCCAAAAGTTAATACTTGCATCCAATGATACATTTATTAAAATCCCTCCAGAACGTTTTGCTAATGCTGTACAGACAAATATAAACGCAAAAACCCATTATCGCCCCTTTATCTTTGGTGGCAGGAGATGAAAAGGACAACTAAAGTAAAAATATTTACTTGTCTACAAACTGAACTTTTGGTCTGTTATGAGAGGTTTGAGTAGGCTGACCTGAGGATGACTTGCTCCAGAAGTTTGGTCTTCATCTCGTCATCCTGCAGACGTCTCTGTGTCTCCTCCTCAGCTGGAGCTCCATCCAACAACCAGCGCTCCCTCAGGGCCTTTGACTGCACAAACACAACATGTAACCAGGTGAGTCTGATTGTTTATTGCAGTTAATAAGAGGCTTACCATTCCATTAAAGTATGCATATCACCTGTCGCCTCTCATGCCACAGCTTTCAACTAAGACAGAGGTGCCCAAAGTGGGGCCCGCGGGCCAAATTTGGCCCGCCAAGCCACTTGGTTTGGTCCACCAGCAGTTATCCTGGTTACTAGGTTGTAATCGTCTGTCTTATGTAGAAATACTATATTTGCACTTAGTCTTTTCAAACATTGGTCCAACTATAGGTACAAGGAGCTGTAGTCAGATAGTCTTAACTTATGGTGCTCACTTTATCTTAGAATTTTGTTAAGATTAAACTTAAAATACAAGTAACTTCAAGAGATATTTATGAGATTTAAGTCCATATCTAGATTTGCACACCTTATAAAACCACATATGCTCAAATTTTAAATTATGAAAAGTCCCATGAGCCTTTTCTGCCCAAGCATACGTTGAATTTTCTCCATGTCTATGGGCTGAAAACAAACAAACAAACAAACAAACAAACAAACAAACAAACAAACAAACAAACAAACAAACAAACAAACAAACAAACAAGAAAATGTGGACAACCACACTGGCTGCTAGCTTAATCATAAAAAAATATAACTTTACTTCAAATATTTGCATTTCGTGTTTTATATTATTGCATTTGGCCCACCACCCTCAGATTGATTTTAATTTTGGCCCTTTCAGGGAAAATGTTTGGGCACCCCTGAACTAAGATCATCTTATGTTGAGAAATAAGCTGTTCAGGAAGCTAATTTACACTGCATCCGCTTCGTTCTCCAAGGAAAAAATACACCCATTATAATCAATGAGAGCATTTACACTGCATCCACAGGGCGGCTTGCACATGGCCATCTGCCAAAATTAGATTTGGTCCTATTTTTGCCAAACAGCGGAGCAAGTGTGGAGTCAATGCACAAGAATCATGCTGCGTTCCAGTTGTCCTCGGAGGTCGTAGCTTCGAGCCTCAGAGTTCTATTTTTCAACTGGAACGCCCCCTGAAGTCGTAGTTTCGAGTCGGGAGGTCGGCGCATCCAAACCATACCCGAGCAGCCCAAGCATGCGTTATTTCATCATTTCAACATGGCTGCTGCGCATCAGCGGTCACACTATCATTAGCATGTTTCTCTAACGTTGAGCTGTATCAAACGAACACAAGCACCGTTCCCATTATTTAACAGACAGAAAGTAAGAAGAGAAGAGGCAGAATAAAAATGAGTGTAATTTGTTTGTTTATTTTCCCTTGTTTATATTTGTTTAATGTATGTAGCGTACTAGCATGCTTGTCCGAGCTAAGCGCTAATGTTGCTACTCTTGCATGTAAACAAACGCGGCTTCTGTGTTGTTTATTTTACATTACGTCAGACGTACTTGTAGTGCTTTATAGTGATAGTTAAAATATATGTTTTAACACTGTTTGTACACTCAAAATACCTCGTAGAGCACTATTATTGTACGTTTTATTGTTGCAGAGCAAAGTAATAGAAACGCTTTTTCCGATGTTTGAAACTGGAACGCTATCAGCTCGGAACTGACGTCAGTCCGGCTTCAGAAATTCGAGTTCCGATAAAACTGGAACACAGCATCACACTGCACCAACGGGAAAAAGGAACAAGCCAAATATCTGTATTTTCTAAATATTTCACGAATGACAGACGTTCTCAAAAACGTTGTACATCCAGTGATTATTTTCTGAATTTCATTCAAATTTGTCCAGAGGTTTCTGAGATATTTTGGTAAGAAATGCAGACACAGACAGAAAACATTAAAACATATTCATCGTAGTAACTGAGCAGAAAGGGATAGGCATTGATAAATCTTGGGCGTGGGAAAGTTCTCATTGTCCCTGACAAGGAAAACTTTAAATAAACTGGTTGGAGACCTAATTGGGCACAACCTGCTCAACAAAATGGTGATTGACCTCCATGACAATGGTCTGTGACGCCCGTGGCATCGAATTAGAGACCTCTTTGCACTACAGCTTCCCATTTATAAGTGTCAAGATAGAGCTAAACACAGAAGTGGTTGACACATATGACTGAGGAATGCAGTGTCACTGTTACCTCCCTAGATGGCTCCATGTGCTTTGTTAGAGTTCTAATAAAACATCTCATAAAAACTTCTTGCTTGTTTATTAAGACACTAGTAGAAGCTGCTAATTAACAAAAAATGCTTTTCCTAATTGATCTAAAGGCATTTCAGTATTTTAGAGACCCTTCAGTTACTCTAAGCCCAGAATCCACCCACAATGTGTGACAGGTGCCACTCAGGGATTCCTTCACTTTAACTCCTCCCAACTTAGCAAAACACCTGTAATGGTAAAAATTCAAACCAGTGTATAATTCTCCTACAGTACTAGACTTGAAATCTGAGTCAGTTGCTGAAACATAAAACACAAACAAACCAGCTTTATTACTTTGTCAAATGCATCAAACATTACCTAGAGATAGACAGTCATAAAACTCTTACCTGCTGTCAAAAAGACAAAGGTGGACTATAATATCTTTGCCAGTGTCTGTTAGCCAAATATCATGAACTACTGAACTGATTTCAATTAACGTTTCAGAAACGTATCAGATTTACTTTTGAAGTCAACCCAGTCTAAAATGGCTGCCGACGTTAAAAAACACAAACATGGCTCTAATTCTATCTGAAAGACACTGAGCTGAAATCTGGTGTGGTTGTAGCTTGGACTGATTCCCAGCACACAGCTCTGAGGTAGGGCTGGGCGGTATGACCTCAAATTCATATCACGGTATAAATTGAATCCCTTCATGTAACGGTATATATCATGTTAGAAAACTATCATAAAAAGATAATGAAATTTTTAGAGCTTTTTTTTTTGCAGAAAACTAATCTTAATCAAACCCAGCATTTTTGCTTTAATATCTGCCTGCCATACAATGAGCTTCTGCCTGCTGAACTTATCAGCTGCTGCTCTGCTGCGCGCTCATCTTCATCATCAGAGCAGAAGCAACTGTTACATTAGCAAGATGGATTTATGACTGAACCAAAGCCCACGTCTTTTTTTTACCATCTCTGTGGGTAACAATACATAAAAACAAATTTTTTCTCCGACAACTTCGGTGTGTAAGAACTGTTGTTACTAAAGCTTCGCTCTGCGCGACATGGAGGGAGGGAGGAAGGAAATGATCCCGACGTAACTTTTCTACAGCGGGAGGGGGAAATTTTTGAGGTTTTATTCTCTTTACGCATTTTAAAATGCTATAATTTATTCGTTTTATTTCAAACTCCTCCTGCTCAGTTGTCTCTGCACTCGAAGCCATGTTCACACAGGTGCAATGACATAATGACGATTGGACAGTAGAGGGTAAATTTCTACCGTAGGCCAACATCATACCGTTTCTACCGTCTACCGCATATACCGCACAGCCCTACTCTGAGGGCTAACAAATTTATCAATATTTCTGTTTACAATTTTGCCATTAATTATTCAGAGTTAATTGCATCTGTTAGCAAAATATCTCATGATACACTAACTGGATTTGATGGAAACTTGAAGAAAGTAAATATTGGATTAACATCTAAAACAGATAAAGTTTCAAAGCCAAGAAATTAAAGATGTTCGCCACAGTCAATGCACATTTTAAAAAAGGCTATAGTTCGGTAATTTTATCAGACGTTGTGCTAAAACTGTGGCTGTAGCTGAGGGTCAATCGTAACACGTAATTCAAACATGATGAGTTAAAGAGTAACTTACCCCAAAATTAACTTTTTTTTAGCTGATAAACTGTCTAGAATGTGTCTAAAATGTTATATAG